ATATAATGAGAAACGACTTTTTCTGCAATCTCCCAATGGACGAATCGAGATTTATGCTCGACAATACCCAAATGAAAATATAGATATATCCCTGATACCTCAATATCCAGGATCTCGGGAAACCACACAATACCATCACGAGTCCATAATTTCTCTTCCATGACCCGCCATAACCCCGAATTAGAAAAGAACTTGGAGATTCGTGTCACGATCACAAACAAACCGGCCCAACTCAACCAAACCTTGGTTCACAAAATAATCAGCAATCCTACGTAAAGGGGATCATCCTGACAATAAGCCATTACATTTTCGGCCCATAGAATCTTTCATGAATCTCGCACGCCGGACTATCGCCACAGGTCTGCATGTACGCCGGCGTTGCTTCTGAAGTGCAAGATGCAATCCCCTCTATAAATCAATTTAAAAAAACATGGCTTTTTTGTTTATTGGATGAACAATCAAAAAATATATGTTTTTTTCTCTGATTGTTGCCTTCTCAATCATCAATCCAAATATCCAAAGGATGAAGATCTATTGCCTTCCTTGGGACTCGGAATCAAAAAACATATTCTTTTTGGTGTTGATCAAAAAAATCGAAAATTCCTCCAGAAAATATAAAAAAACCAAAAAATTGCCTCCCGGCGTCCATGGCTTTGTTTTTTTGGTTTTTTGGTGTTTTGTTTTTTTGTTGGGTTTTTGGATTTTTGGTTTTTTTGGTTTTTGGGTTTTTGGGGTTTCCCGTGAAATCCTTCGGCTCGAGAGATCTCCCAAATTTAGGATTTAGGGTTTGTAATTCTCGAATGTGAGGATGAAAAACCAAAAGACCCCATGTGTTTTTTTGATTTTTGCGTTTCCTAGGGTCCTAGGGCTCGAAAACAAAAAATTTTGTTTTTGGTTTTGACCGAAACAAACCAAAAAAAATCCTCGGGAAATTCCAAAGCATAAATGGCGGCCTCCCGGCCTCCATGGTTTTGGGATTTTTGCTTTTTTGCCTTTTTGGTTTTCTGATCTTTTCTTGTTTTTTTTTTGTGTTTTGTGTTTTTTTGGGCGTTTTTTGGGTTTTTCGTTTTTGTTGCTTTTTTTTGGGGGGGGGTTCTTAGTTTTTTTTGCGGGTTTTTTCGGTTTTTCGGTTTTCCTTTTTTTCGTTTTTTCGCATTTCCGCATTTTCGCTTTCCCACTTTTCCGAGCTTCCCGGGCTTCTCGGGCTTCCCCCTCTTCCCCGGTTTCCAGCTTTCCGGCTTTTCGGCTTTTCGACTTTTCGGCTTTTTGGTTTTTCGACTTTTCGGTCCCCGAACCCTTCGGCTCGAGAGGTCTCTTCGGTTCAAGATTTAAGAGGACTTTAGATCCTTCTTCTACACTTCTCTTTTCGTTCCTTCGAACTAAAAAAACACATGATTTTTTGTGACTTTAATCAAAAAAGGCAAATCTCTGCAAAACAAAAAACTAAAAAAAATGTTTCTTGGGTTACATGATGTTTTTAGTTTTGGGAGAATCCTCGTCTACTTGAAATCGAAATCCTTCGAGAAGTCCCGTAGGTTTAGGATTTAAGATGATTATTCATTATTAATCTTCTTCTTCTAATATTATTCTATTTATTTTTCTCTTTATCATTTATTTTTTATCTATGATTCTTCTTATCATTATTAATATTATACTGATTATTCTCATTTTTTGATGATTATCATTATGATTCTTTTATTTCCATTTTTATTCCGATTATCATTCCTACTTATATCTAAATATATGTAAACGAAGATCTTATCATTCTAAGTATAAATGCTTGCGCGTGCCGCCAGCAACCGAGCCGGCCCACAAACAAGAAAGGGAGAAAGAGGGTTTCTGGGAAAGGTTCCCAGTGATTGGAGCATAGGACTCTGTTGAAGCAGGTATTGTGGGTCAGCTATCTGTTGGGCATATTGGGGAAGAATGAGAGGATGTGTCTGATTGCTGCGCCTCGCTCCATACTACCGAAATCGTTCACGCTCGGAAGCAATCGACTCACATGAGCTTGAGTTTGACAGCTAGAGACCAAGGAAGACAAATCCGCCACCTGCATCACTTCTACGCCAATTTCGTACCTCGCGCTGAGGAGTCCTAAGCCTCCCCATTTGACAGGAAGAGCTTGGGCGCGGGCTGCCAAGAGGGACCGCAGCCGATTATGGCGCACTCGATAACCCCCCGTAAGGGCAGGCCCGGGCATGGTCCCTGCGCGGTCGTTCACCCCGTCGCACAAAGGGCATGCTTCATCCGACTGGGAGGCGCAGGCGCTGACGGAGCATGACCTTGAAGAGTGCTGCGGTGACCTGCAGACCAAGAGCCTCGGCAGGCGGCGCGTGCAACCACGCACTTGCTCCAATGAAGATGGGCGCGGAAGGCCCGCGGCGCTCAACTGCTGGAAGGCGGCGGTCAAGCGACTGTGACAGCTTTTGCTGTCCGAGGGCGTCTCAACTGGGACACGGCCGGCAGCGAGCACATCATGGCTGAAGGCAGCGAGGCACCATTGAGCTCAAAGGAGCGGCGTGGGTCGATAAGCACAGAAGCAACGTAGGCCGCATTGCTGCGTGCGGAGGCCCAGGCCGCCAGCTCCAGTAGAGATAATGCCGCGAGCTCCCAGGCATCAGCGGTAAGGGCCCCTGCACAAACCTGTTCCAGGCATCCACATACTTTCTCATCAAAAAGTGGCCAGGGCTTGGTCATGGAGCTGGGGTGGGGATACGCCGTAAACCACTTTGCAGCACGCTGCACACTCTCGGAGGAAAAGGAGGGGGAGGAGGGCAGCCTGTGAACGATGGCTGCGCCGAGCAGCGTGAAGGCCCCGCGCGGTTAATGACCACGCGGCGGGAAGAGGTGTCGCCCAACAACGCCGTCCCCGCTGCAGGTGGTGAGCACACACTTGGCCGGGCTCAGGCTCAAGCCTACTTGTTACTTGTCGCACGGGCAGCCGAGAGGCGGCCCATCCCCAGCCACGCAGACGTCATGGAAAGCGAAACCAAGGTCTGGCCGCTCAGCGTTTCCAAAGGCCGTGTGCAGGCTGGAGGGCGAGGGCGAAGAGTACACGGGCCCAAACAACCCCAACGCCCGCCTCAGAGGTCACGGCGTTCCCTTCGAAGACAAGATGCGAGCGCCTGCCGTAGCACCACTCGACATAGGCGCCAACCCAAGGAGGCGGAGCCGAACTTCGCGCAACAGGGCTGCCTGGTCCACACTGAGTGTTGAATGCGTTGGAGAAATCAACCGTTAGGAAGCACTTGCTAACATGGCTGGCACGCCGGTGAGCCCAGCGGCGAGCAACATGCACAGCCGCTTCGGTTCCGTGAAACACTGCGATTCCAAGCTGATGTGGGGCAGGGTAGCTGCGAGCGGCATCCTTGACAGCGGCGCAGAAGCACTTTGAAGCAAGGCGCCGCAGACACTCCCCCACAGCTATTGGCCTGACATCGTCGGCTCCTTTGGGGACCACGTAAAGGGTGCCCCCAGCAAGGCGCGTGGCAAGTCGCCACGAACCGACAGCAGGAGACAACGGTCAAGTTTGCGGCGACCTCGTCCGTGGGCTGCGTTAAGGGCCTCCCGCAAGTAGTCTGCCCGAGGGCCCGGCCGCAGAGGGACGGCAGCGAGCACGTCCTCCGCAGAGAGATCGGAAACGCAGGTAGCGGCAGAGTTAGACACGCACCTCACCTTCCGCAGCGCAGCGCCCTTTTCCCCCCAACCCCGCAAAGGGCTGGGTGAAGGACAGACTTCGGAGCTCACAGGCTTGGAGGGACGTGGTGCTACCGCGGCCAGGGCTGGAGCAAAGCACTGGCTCCACACAGTCGGCGCAGCCTTAGTTTAGAACATTACGGGAGGAACGTTGGCCGGCGGGAGGCCGTCCGGGGCGGGCGCGAGGCCGGCGGCAGTCCTGGCAGCGGGTCTGCATTAGGGCGAAAGCCCTTATAGCGCTCTGCCACCAGTAAAAGGGATGGGCGGCCAAGTAGCCAGCAGGCACTGTGTCCGGCACGTGGCAGCCTCCGTAGCGAGTCCCCCGCGCCACTGCACTCTCGGCACCCTGCGCCAGCGTCCACGGGCCCCTCTCCTGCCCCTTGGGCTCAGGAGCTAAGAGCCTGCCCAGAAGCCACACCTCCTCCTTGCCCACTCTGCGTCATCAGGCCCAAAAGGGTATGTCGTGACCAGGCAGCAGTCACACTGCCCATGGCTCAGGCAGGAACGCTTAATGGAAGGACTTGTTCGAATAGGGATGCCGAAGGGTGGCTGGGCCCTAAATCCGAAAATCCAAGCTCCAAGTTGCCCTAAAGCGCAAGGCGTGGCTCCTAAATCCTAAAACCCAAAAGCCCACTAGGCCCTAATCTCTAAGCCCAAGGCTCGGAGGTTCTAATCCTCTTGCGCAAGGCCAGGCCCCCACTAGGCCCTCCCCCAATCCGATCAAGGCCAATGGCTCCTAAACCCCAAAAACCCACCAAAAGTTGGCTGTGGGCCCCTCCCAATACCCGCAACAAATTTTGCCCTGAGGTGACCGGCTCCTTACACCTACGCCATAGTGGGGCAGCAGGTGGGCAGGAGCGTGATTGCGTAGTAATCTCTGCTAAGGGGGGGGGGGGGGGGGGGGCGGATTCTAAGGATGGGGGATTATGTGGGTCAAGCCCCCGCACTTAATGCCCTACAACAGGAGCAGGACATATAGGCGAGGACAAGTGTCATTTCACTTGCAGGCGGCATCACTCAAAGGAAAAGCCTTAGTCTCGGGCCGTACGCGAAGCGACAAAGGCCCTCATGACACATAAAAACCATAAATACAATATATATATATATATATATATATATAGGCATATATGTGTATTTGTGTGTTATATTCTGTTATATCATATTTTCTTGGCAAGCCAAACTCAAAAAACACCCAACACCATGGCATCCCAGACTCAATAAAAACATTTCAGGAAGTATAGGAGTTCAAGCACATTGTCAACCCCACCCAATTGGAAAACGCCTAGGAGACGTTTTGTCAGCTGTCAGGCTTCGGCGATGCAGTGATACTTCTGATTGTAGCGGTGCACATCCACTTCACTGGCGTGTGCACGGCACAGCTGTGCCAACAAGCTATCTGGCATGTGGGCTTCCTGCTGGCCACAAGTGCCTGGCAATGCTTCCATGATTCGCTCATGGGCTAATACTTCACGTTCGAAGCCTGTCTCCTTCGACCTGAACCCGTGCAGTTCTGCCTCAAACTCTGCATGCAATTTCTTGTAAATCTTCTGATCCACAGCCAGATGCTCATACAGAACGGGAGGATCGCTGGGGACCTGGACAAAAGCTTTCTCGACAGAGCTGCCTGTCACGAACAAAGCATCCCTCAAGGACCAGTTCAAGGTTCTTCGAAACATGACCAAGGATTCTGAAGGTCTGTCCGCAAGCATGACATGCAGCCTGCTTGAACGATTGAATGGCCATCCCGCAATAAAGTGTTCCACATGTTCTTCTTCAAGCAAACGCCAGGTTTTTGCGAGTGGGTTCCACATCTTCCTGGTCACGTTGAACTGTGCGAATGGCGTTTGCGTCCATTGCAACACCGACCACAAATGAGAATGCGCTTCTTTGACGGGTATGAACAAATGTACCGAAGAGCCCAGCAGGCTTTCGTATGCGACCAGCAGCTGGTCGAACCATTGGCCATCGCAGAAATCACACTTTTTCAAGTCGGGTTTGCAAAGCCACCACTCTGGCAATTCAAGCAAGTGGCGCGTTTCGAAGTCAAGAGCTTGAAGCTTAGCCTGTTCACTCGTATGTTTGGCCAGACAGGACAAATTCTGCCGTATCCAACGGTCGCTAAGCTGGCAGCCTGCCCACCGCATCCCCCTTTTCATTGCATGCCAATGGAGACTCACAGTAAGTGCGTCACTTCCAGTCATAAACTGATGGTGAACTGCCATGATTGCAAATCGGTTCGCAGGAATAGCCGTGCTGCCAACAAAGCCGCAACTGGATGACAAAGCAACTTCCACGGCACGCCACGAGATTTCTGCGACCTCAAAACTTGGGGAGCTGCACTGCTAGGATACACGAAGAATAGTGATGCCAAGGCGCAGGTCGACGGTCTCCGAAACCACAAAGCCAGTCTTCAACGCTTGATGCACTTGTCGAAGCTTGTGAAAGCCGCGGTCGGGGCTCGCCTAAGTCTCAACAGCATCTCGGATGCCTACCAAGGCACACCAGTGATTCCATATGCGTTATGGCAAGGGGCAGTGCATATCGTGCCAGTAATACACAACGGGTAAAGCAGATACCAGAGCAAGTAGAACTCCCAGGCCATACTCTCCGGCACGGTGCTTCACCAACTCTATCTCCATGGCTCTATAGGATGGTTGCAACCACCAATGTAATCTAAGGTATTTATGACGGCCTGCTGCACTGTGTCTGAGCTGGTTCAGATCAGCCTGAGGTAGTAGACATGGGAATCCATTGTTTGGAAATGCTTGTCTGCTCGGGCTTACTTACCCTCTGATTGGTGTGATTTGCACATGCGTAGTTTCTCGCAAGCCAAGCTTTTAGACCTAAGACGTCAATACGGAGCACACTTCACCTGCATTGATCATCGTGACTGCTTGGACCTCAGAGTTCCAGGACACCAAGGAACAACACAAGGACACCAGGGACTCCGTAAGCTTACGCGGAACACGGTCAAACTTGTTGCCACCCCTTGCACAGAACCTTACGCGTGCCGCACGTGGGATTTTACATGTTTCATCATGGCCAGTTTTGACATCTGCTAAACTGGGTATGGCTCAAAACCCCGTTGATCGGACCCCACCTTGTTGCAAACCCTTGTCGCCCCCCTTGTCGCGCCAGCTTTGTTGCAAACCCTTAGCAAGCCTTGTCGCGCAAGCCTTGTCGCGCAAGCCTTGTCGCGCAAGCCTTGTCGCAAAACACCGGTTTTTGTTTCAAACCCTTTGTCGCGCCGTGAGCGCACGGCGCCTGTTGCAAGCCCTAACGCTTGGAGCAACTCAAGCTTGAACACCCACCCAAAGTTCCCCCACGCCAAAAAAATCATGCGAAGGTGTGCAAGCAGCGGCGGTACTGCCAGGGGAATTGCTTGTTTGCCTCCTCATCATTCGGCCAGAGCCATATGTCACCATGTTCAAGCCTGATGCCAGCAGCGACCTCAGCGAGGGTGAAAATCACTCGCTTGAGCTCGCTCAGGGTGACGTTCCTGCAGCCAGTTGCAGTCACGCTCTTCCGCTTTTTGGCCATGGCCGGGGACGTGCGGCACACCAAATCAAAGAAGGTACTGACGAGTTTCATATGGGTCTGAACGGTATCATCTGTGAACAACTTCATGCTGGACATATTTGGTGGTTGTTGTATACTCCTTCATGCGGAAAGTCCGTTTCTTCGCGCAAAGGTGATGCCTTTCCCCGCTACTTTCGCGAACTTTCGTGGGGACAAAATGTTCGTATCATGTCAACGTGCTACGTATGCCATGATTTGTAGCGCGTTGCACTTAGCGTCTACTTTAGGGTTCTGGAATGATTGGCACGTTGGTGGGTCAGTTCTTGCTGCGGTACATCTCTGCAGGCTGCTCTCGGGTAGGCGCGCCATGCGCGAACCACTGGACGAAGACCATCTGAGACCTTCAAAGGCCACCTGCACTTTCGCGGATTCTTCTCATCCATACTTTCGCGGGACTTTGGTGTGAACAAAGCCAACGAAACCCTGGAGGTTTGCATGGCGGGACTTGAGCGAGGAGTACGCAGCTGGAGCACCAGTTGTTGGCGAGCTGCTACCACGAAAGGAAATCAACAGCAACCACAGAGCATAACATCGGAACTTTCGCGAAAAGCAGTATCTTTCGCCAGTCTTTCGTGGACCAGTACAAACGGCTATAAAGTTGTTCTGTTAAAGGGAAACAAGGGGGCTTTACAACAACTGCCTGCGATCACATTGCACGTGGAAGCATTTGAGCACGCAAGGGCCGGCTGGCATCCCAAGCTGCTAACCTCACAAGCTCAGCATGCTCAAATATAATCAAATGCAACCCTGCAGAAAGCAATGCTTGCAAGCACCGCGCGCAGACAAACTCCTCGGGCCCTCGAAGGACATGGACTGAACAAAATGGCAGGGGATAAGGCTCTATCCCACACCTTGGCAGCAGAATCATCGCTCAGCCCGCGCTCCTTTTACCACATGGCCTCCGATTTGGGTGACTTGAGTGAAGCGTTGCTAATTAGGTGCCGCGTTGGGCACTGCGCTGCAAAGTCGCCTTACAGTTTTGGTCGGCACTGGTCAGGTGGGCGGAATCCCTTGGGCAAAGGCACGCTTGCCAGATGCTTCTTGGCAGCAGCCACATCTACGAAGCGTGGGTTCACAAAATAAGCATCACAAGCAGTTGGCTTCCAGCATTGCTGTGCGAGGATTTCCATGCCTGCCCGCTGCGTGAGCAGTTCCCTTACTTGCTCATTCTTCTGCTGGTGCTTTGAGAGCTCCTCGACTACCAAGAAGGCTGCCGAGAACTGGGACCAATCCACAGACTCTGCAACCTGAAGCTCAAAACCCTCCACGTCCAGGCTGAAGAAGTCGATGCGCGAGACGTTTAGAGAACTCAAGAATTCTCTTAAGGGCCGACACGGAGCAACGGTGTACCCCGAATCGTCAAGCTCTGTCGCGATATGCGCTCCAGGATGATTCCCGGCAAACTTTACATGCCCTGCTTCTCGGCAAATGGCACTGCGAATGTTTAGAGTGCCTGGTCGAAGCTGTTTCATCCTCTTGAACATTCTGGGATTGGCCTCGATAAGAATGCCCTTCCAACCCAAGCATTGCTCCAAAAAGTGCGTGTTGGTTTCATGCCACCCATCATAGCCACCCATCTCCAAGAACACGGGATGGTCAGGCATGGTGTATGTCACAAAGGGCAGTACATGGCTTAGGAAAATCTGCTCTTCATTCCGGGAGTTCGAGCACGCCGATGTTGTCACATCTCCACAGATTGTGCAGCAGGGCTGCAAAGGACCGCCTAGGAGCTTGGGCGACTGCAGAAAATCAGCAAACAGGCCAGAAGAAAAGGAAGCGGTACATGTCTGGCCCCTGCAGACTGACACCTCATAGGAATCAATGAGTTGTGCTGGTGACGCCACCGTTTGCTTCGTACATTGAGGCCGAGTGCCTCGTCCGAGAGCTGGCAGCTTCCACACACCCATTACGCTGGACCCGGGAACCCCGAACAAGTTCTGCGTCGAGTACAGCGGAGGTGGCAAACAGTAGGGGGGCAGCTCAAGATTGTACTTATGAGAACCAATCACTTGTGCCTCGCTTGCCTTCACTTTGAAAGCTTCGGGGTATGCCTTCTCTGATCGAGTGGGATGGTACTCATTCGTGTCGCCACTGGCATCCGGCCAGTGCGTAATCGCAACATACCCCGATCCACTTCGCTCAAAATTCTTCAAGGCTCGCAAGGATAGGTCGGAGCTGATATGAAGAAAGACATCTCGTGTGTGTATCATGTCGATCTTTGGAGGAATCATGCATGTGATGTCAAAGACCTGAAACTTGTTGGCGAACCGAGCATCTTCTCCAAACAAGTCGGTGTTGTGTGCCACTAGACTGGGTGAAATATCGCCACCATAGTAGTCAACACCCGTCAAATTGACATACGGCATCCAGGTCATGTCACCGCAAGGAGCGTCCAGAAATGTGTGGATGTTGAGGTCATCAAAAACCTGGCGCAGGAATTGCCTCACCTCAGAGCAGGACAAGACGAGGAAGGCCATTCAAGGCAAGCGCCATTTAGAGCGTGTTCTTGAAATTTACGTTCACACCCACCCAACCCCCCACCCCCGCCCCCACCCTCCCACCCGCACCCCCACCCCCACCCCACCCCACCCCCACCCCCCGCCCCCACCCCCACCCTCCCACTCCCACCCCCTCCCCCCCACCCCCACCCCCCCCACCCCCCCCCACACCCCCACCCCCACCCTCCCAACCCCACCCCCACTAAAATTGTATTCTTTAGATTCGTTGTATCATTCTCATTGATATTTTATATAATTTGAATGAAGTGAAAAATGTTTTGCATTTTGTCAATGAATTTCAAGTACTATTAGTTCATTCGAACTCGTTCGCGGCGACCCACCATTCCGTTCTGAGGCGGGGGGAGGGGTGGGTGGTACCCCCTTCCGACCCCTTCCCACACTGAAAAGCCGCACTTCGTGGAGAACTATCGCAAGTCATTTGCGGAGTTGTACCTCGGATGCACCTCGCCTCATATCTGCAGCTTTATGGCTTGATGCATGCGCTACCGGGTACAGCAAAACTACCGTAGAACACTTAGCTGCCGGCGTAACGCGTGGCAGCAAGGGAAGATCCAGGCCCAGACGGGTTGGAAATTGTCCTTTCCGATTCCTTGGAGCCATGTCGCCAGGTCCGAAGACGCTTTGCCATGACCATATCCCAGGACTTGTTGTGCTTGGACCTGGACAGTGTGCGCAAGCCCAAAAGAAAAAGGCTCTTTACAACTACTGCCCAGATCCAGCGCCTTTCCTCATCGGAACACTCATCGATGATCTGCATGGTTGATCCTGGGGGAAACTGCAAGACAGGACATGAAAGGGCAAAGGGGCCAGCAGTGAAATTCAATGCTTTTTTAGAAGCTCCTGCATGACCAAGTTTCCACTGATACCTGGAGCGTTCCTTATTGGACCAGTCTTGTCGGATGCAAAACACACACAGGACATCCCAAAATCGCAAACATGCTAGCCTTGTCAACTCAATCTGTTGCCAATGGGTCGCAAGTGTGGCATCTGGTTGACGATACTCCACGTCTGGCACGTTTTGCGGGACGGAAAAGCACCTCACCATGTTCTGTTGTGATGCAAGGGCCATCCAAAGGATAATGAAGACCAGCGCAATGATGACGACATTTTTCGCTGTATGACTTCGCCATGTGCTCCACGCTTCGAAGCCCATGCCAGCAGCAAGAGAGAATCGGCCCAACAAGCTGAAGCAGCATTAAGAAACATTGTGTCATGCAATGTAGTGCACCAACTGCATGTGTCTTGGTCACTGAGGCCAAACAAAACTGATCATTGATGCTTTGCGATCTGACAGTCGAGAAAAGAAGCCTTCGAGAGTGGCATGTCGACTGCATCTGCATGGAAATGGGCGTGTACCTACCAACATGGTTGAGCGATCTGGCACCGGGTCGCATACCGCAGTTGAGTCACATAGCAAAGCGATGGACACCCGAAAACAATTGCTCATCGTTGCTAATTGTTCACAACTGCTCACACACCTGCGGAATTGCACAGTTCCGCAAACCACCAATCGAGGGCCTTCGTGAAAACAGGAACTTGTATAAAATACAGCTTACAACACACTTCAAGCATGGGCCCCAAAGAGGTAAAACGTTCGCCGTTAGCACCCTGCCTAAAGTTCAAACGAGCACCGAAGCTTGGGAGTGCAGAACTTTCAAGCAACATACTTTTCCACACAACTTGGAAGAACAAGACTGGAACGTGCAGAGACAATCAAGAATCTTTTGGCTCTGCAATTCGTCATCTGTTTCAGTCATTTTGTGACAATGTTGTGTTGGGTGGTGACTCGAGTTTTTTCATTTTTCAACGCATTGAAGGCGATCGAGGCTCTCCAAGTCCGCTTCCGCCCGTGCTGATCGGCAGAACTGCGCCAAAAAACTGCCGCCAAGGTGTTCGTTCATTCCTCCACAGACTCTGGCGACAGCTTTTGTGATACGTTTGTGCGCCAAGACCTCACGCTCAAAGTCGGAATTCTGGGATCTGTGGAGCTGTAGTTCATCTGCAAACCATGATTGCAATCGCAAGTACAATTGCTGGTCCAGATTTAATCGGTCACTAGGGATGTCTTCTGCAGCTGGTACAAGCACCTGGGCAGCTTGCTTCTCGCTGGTGACGTGAGTGCTGAAAGAGACCACATCCCTCAGAGACCAATTGACCGTCCTGCGGAACATAACTAGGGATGCAGACAAATCCTCAGCAAGCAAAACATGCAATCTCTTTGCTCTTTGGAAGGGCCATTCCTTTAGGAACCGCTGAACTTGACTTGCGTGGTGCAGGCCCAACTCTTTCGAGCATGGATTCCAAAGCCATGCAGAGTCATTGAACTCTGCAAATGGTTTGGATGTATGGCGCAGCAGAGATCGCAAGTGAGTGTAGGCATCTCGTATGGGGATAAAAATCTGAACTTCAGAGCCCATGCGTCTCTCATAGCTCAATAGGAGCTGCTCGAACCATTGACCATCCGCACTGTCACAGAATTGTGGCTGCCCGCCTCGCTCAGAACTCCACCATACGTTTGGGCCCCATGCATGCCGCAGTTCAAACTCGAACTGACCATCACCTTTCACGCTTGTCGATGCACATGCCCACTTCACTGGGAGCAGGTGTCCGTTGTCAGCGCAACCAGCCCATCGTAATCCCTTGCGTATGGCGCTTCGGTGCATTGTTGTCGAAAGTGTTCCGCTCGCCGTCTTATGCATTTTGAACATGGCGAAACGAACTGCTGGTAGCTCTGAGTTGCCAATGAATCCGCAGCTCGATTCCAACACTTCTTCCAGCACCTGCCATAATGTTTCAGGTCGCATGGATGGCGCCTCACGTGCGCAATCAAGGGCCAAAGAGCAGACTGCCAGCAGACTATTGAATATTGTTGAAGTATGTCAGGGAACGTCCTAATGCACTGTAGCAAATCGCCTGCAATCCTACGAGACGCAATCCTGGCACAGCATATCCCGTGTGGACTTGAACAGGCATCATCACATTTTAGGCTGCAAGGTTTGGGAGGAAGTCGGGAAGCCTTCTTGTCCAGTTCAAAGCGCCAAAAGCACAAAACAACGCTCAAAAGAGAATCACCAAGCAGCAGGTTCCTCATGTCCCATACCGCAAAACCAGTCAAACCACTCCTGCAGCTCCTGCATGGTTGGAATACTGAGGTTCTGCGTTGCCGGGACTCGGGGTGCCAATGTCGGCAGTTGCGGTACACCTCAGGTGTTAACACAAGCGAAGCGTACTTCATCCCAAAACAGCGCTGACATCATCTGAACTATAAATGCACAGACACGCTCATATGTGTACGTATATATGTATGGTCCCCCCACCCCCCCCCAAAAAAAAAAAAAAGAGTCTACACCCTCGTTGTCTACACTACTCTTCTGATTGCTTCCACGCACTTGTGTGCAAGTAGTACACACCGAAAACACTGTTAATACCGATAAAATCGTACTTGTCTAGTCTGAACACGTCATACATCGAATGTTTTATAAAGAATCTGCAACCGAATTCGGTTAAACACAAGAATGATCTATATACTCCAGAACCCTGGAAGGTACAGCAGCTTTCTGTCGGCACCTCAAAAATTCGCGGCTTTTTGTGTTTTTACTGCTTTCGTAGACGAATAGCGTATTGTCATGAAAGCATCCTAACTTCGGTGCGCATGGCGCTCTTTCTCGCGTACAACAACCTACTTCTACAATTCCTACCTACTAACCATAACAATACTTTTCTGGCTACTTTTCATCGGAATAATTAATTCCGCGGTAAACTAAGTCCGCTGCGTTATGCGGGATTTGCAGACTCCAAGTTATCGGGGGGGTTGCGGCCTCTGTCAAAGAATAGCTGTCCTTCATTGCTCGCTCAAGGCCAGCTGAAGATTGGACCTCATACTATATTCACAAAACCAGTATGTACTTTGTATTGAATTCTGCGCAATGAATATTACAGTGGTGTGCTTAAATCATGTACAAAGCTTTTCAATAGGATTTACTTTGCATATTTGCTCAACATGTTGCTTGGAATAAACACTATTTCTTTAGTAGGTGCTCTGTACTTCATAGGTCGATTACCCATCTTTCATCGCGTTAGCTGCTTGCGTTGGCAGGCCATAGCCGTGCTCCGGGTGAGAAGCGTGGCCCTTGCCACATGTGATGGCGAATTTTGACTTCGCCGGTCTCGGGGGGCCTAAAGGAGGTGAAACCCGGAGCTCTCGGGGGGCGTAAAGGAAGTGAAACCTGGAGCTCTCGGGGGGGCCTAGCAAAGTTGCACTATTTGTATCGAAACACCTGAAAACCCAAAAGTCCAAACTTCGCCAAAGACTCTTCCAAGGTTTTTGGGTCTGTGAATTTCCGAGTATTATGATCTTCAAGAGGCAAGTAGCAGGTTTCTAGGAGAATTATGTATTCTTTTGAGCTTGTCTATACGCATTGTGCGCTTTAGACATATTATATCTTGTACAAGCGGTATTTAATTAGTGCGTGAGCAGAATTTCATGTCTATGTCATGAAAACTGCTTGTTTTGTGGTGACGAAAACCGTATACAATAATGACGCAATTTATATGACATGAATCTTCCATTAATAGGTTCAAAACTAGGATACGTCGTATCTGATCAAAACTACAGCACAATGATGATTTATGCAACGAACATTGCTTGAATAGGATACTTCACTAGCCTCTTTCGAATAATATTAATTCAACATTTAGCCTAGTACAGGCACTATGTATGTAGAAAAACACCCTATTTGCCTAAGCTTGGGACAAGCACTACTTCTCCAGAAACAAAACGAATTGCCCAGAACTTTCCATAACATTGCAGTATTGGTCTGGATTGCCAAGCACAATCACATTTTTTGCAATGGATATTCTATGAATTAAACAAAGTTAGGATATAGTTCACTCGCCTCTTTCATATAGAATTTGTTCAATATTTGTCTAGCACAGGCACTATGCATCGAAAAAAAAGCACTGTTTCTCTATAAGAGAAAAAAAACGAAATCAGACAAACTAAAAAAAAAAACATACATTTTTCTGAGACTTTTGGAAGGGTGAAACCAAAACAACCAAACCAAAAAACTAAAACAAAAAAATATTCCGAGACTCTTGGACAAAGGGAATCATTACCCCTTGACGTCAAGAGTTTGGAAATATGTTGTTGGTTTTTTGCTGTGTTTGCTTGTGTGTTGTTTTTGTCTTTGGTGTTTTTGGTTTGGGTGTGTATTGGTTTGGGTTTTTTGGTTTCATCCTTCCAAGAGTCTCAGGAAAAGGACTTTCTTGGTTTTGTTTTTTTTTGTTTGGGTTTTTTGGCTACTGATTTTGGTGCCTTTTGGCATTTTTTGGGTTCTGGAAACCTGTAAACGTAGATCTTGGGTGGGGAGGGAGCATATATATGCATATATATATATATACATATGTGGTACCCCCCCCCCCCCCCACCCGTGGATCCATACCTGTTCTTCTTCTTTCGTTGTTCTGTCAGGTATCGAGCTCAGCAAGGCGGTTCTACAACATGGGCTGCAGGTTTAGGGCTTCTCGTGAGGTCCCAACGCTTGTCCTCTCATGATAAACCATTTCAAAATGTTCTAAAAAAACATCAAATTTGAAATCTTTAGGAACCGAAGATTGAAGAAGTGAAGAATTGAAGATCCCTCGCAAAAGTTTTCCAGGATCTTCGATTTGGGGACCCGAAAATTTAACAATCTCAACAAAACTTCAAAATTGAAACTTTGGCGCCCTAAAACCGAAGATTGAAGAACTGAAGATCCCTCAGAAAAGTTTTCCTAGGATCTTCAGTTTAACGGTGGGAAAATTTCAAGGTTTCATTGTTTTAGAAGTTTTGAAATTTCCGGGACCCCAAATCGAAGATCCTGGGAAAACTTTTCTGAGGGATCTTCAATTCTTCAATCTTCGGTTTTAAGGCCCAAGAAATTCAAATTTGAAAAGATTTTCCGCAAGAGTCTCCCAGAAATCTTAATCTCCAATCTCCAGTGTTACTTTTCAAGCATTTTCAGAATTCTTAAGAGTTCAAAACATTAATCCTGAAATAGCACTATTAAGAAACTTAATCCTGGAATGAGCGTCTTGTGAAACAACACCCGCACGAAAAACGTTTGAAGATTCCCTCCCCCCCCTCCCCCCCTCCTCCCCCTCCCTCCCCCTCCCCCCCTCCCCCTCCCCCCCCCCCTCCCCCTCCCCCTCCCCCCTCCCTCCCCCTCCCTCCCCCTCCCTCCCCCTCCCTCCCCTCCCTCCCCCTCCCTCCCCCCCTCTCCTCCCCCCTCCCTCCCCCTCCCGCCCCCTCCCTCCCCCTCCCTCCCCCTCCCTCCCCCTCCCTCCCCCCCCTCCCCCCCTCCCCCCTCCCTCCCCCTCCCTCCCCCTCCCTCCCCCTCCCTCCCCCTCCTCTCCACTGCGCTCTCTGGTTGTATTATAAGGGCGTGTTCAAGGCTTATCATTGAAACCTTGTCGGTTAAGGGATTAGGGTTTGAAAGAGAAGGCCCGAAAACTTTATCCCTAAGCCTTGAAGCCTATACTTTTTCTTAAACCAAACAAACTTAAATCCTTACCCTTTTAAACCCTATAGTGAAGGTTTAAAGGGTTAAGATTTAGGCATTTGAAGCTAAGATGGCAATTAAACCTACACCCTTAGCCTTAACGCCCTAGGGTTAAGGGGGTTAAGGTTTACAGATTTAAGCATTTCAACCTAAGGCCATAGAGTTTAAACCTTAAGGGTTTAAGGCTTAGGCATTTACACCTTGACCCGAAGCCTATTGGTTCAGAACCCTAAAACCCTATAGGGCTCCAGAAGGTTCAAAGGTTTTAAGCCTATAGGCGCTGAAGGTATACATGCCCAGACCTCAGATTGTTTAAAACATTAAACCCTATAGAGCTTAAAGGTTTGGGGCTTTTCAGGGTGTATCTCTAAAACCCTCACGGGGTTAGCCCTCTAGGGTGTAAATCCTACAGGGCTAAAGGTTTAGATGAGATTTAAGCATTGCCTACAGGATTAGAACCTTACAATCCTCTAAGGCTGCACTATGTCGTTCCGCTCAAGTCCCGTACGACCAAGGAGACGAACTGGCAGTGCACCTACCTTTGGCGAGGGCCCACTCAGACCGCGCAAGAAAGCTTAAGTCTCGTTCCCTTCGACAATGGTTGATAAGCAGACCTACTGGTGACGCACAAAGCCCGCCGAGCAATGACTTTGCAGCTTGGCAACAACGAACCTTGGCGCTTGTCGAAATCCTGAAGTGCCTTTTGGTGTCCCTGTGTATGCGAAGCAGAAGGTTTTCGGAGTTGGTGGCATTTTGACTTGGAGTCGAGATGGGAAAAGGGAGTCTATGCGGGCTCTATCAGGACCTGAACAAGCTGAGGATTGCTGTTAGAATCTGGCCGCATGGACTGTGATGCAGTGGAGCAGCTTTATGGTTTGTTGGCAAGGACAAGGTGAAAGCTATCCAGAGCAAAGGGACGTCAACCACCGAAGGAGGCTACGAGCCGGATCACTGGGATGTTTACGCATGCCAGCAACCACAACGCACCTGGCAAAGTTTGCACGAGAGGTGGCTGGTATTCCTGAGTTCAGTGCGGTGGGTGACTCGAAACACCTACATGAAGCGTCACAAGGACAACAGGAACGATCCCCAAACTTTCAACTACACTTACGCGTTGACAGATTTCGAAGGCGGTGGCATCTGGGTTGAGCAGAGCTGGTCGGAGCCGGACTCGGACACGCAAGAAGTGAAGCCAGGTCCCTTGCCGCCTGGTCGTGTGTACGATCTCCAGCAAGGCGACATGGTGAAGTTTTCGCCTAACTGTTGGCATGGGACTCAGGAGCATCCAGGAGGACGCTTGGCGCTGATCACTTCTGTCCGAGGAGGTAACAGTTTGAATCAAGATGATCGATGGGATCTTGAGGATATCGGTTTTCTGTTGCCTCCAGAACCTCTTCTAACACCTCCACGAGATGAGCCGGCAAATGACCCAAAGGATCCGAAGGTCGTTAACTACCGCCTGCAGGAGGACGACATGGACGTGAAAGAGAAGCTCTACAATCCGCTGTAAAGCAAGAACTTCCGGAGGACGATGAAGCAGAGCTCAGGTGCTCCGATGGTTTGCAGCGGCTTAACGAGGAGCAGCAGCAATTGCTTGAGGATTTGGAAAAGAGGTCAGTTTTGCTTGCTACTTGAGGAGGAGCGGGCTTTGGCGGAGGACTTGCGTCAAGCTGGAAAGTGTGTGGAAGAAAAGGCTATGAAGACGCAAGAGTGGGTCGAAACGCTCACTGGTAAGGTGGCGAAGGAGACAGGCCATGCCCAGCTTCGAGCACAATAAGTTTGTTTCAAAGTCTCTGCTGCTCATGAAGAAAACAGTCTTCAAGGAGATTTGGAGGTGGCGCATACTGTTCCGATTCCACAGGTGAGGAGATCAATTGCACAATGGGGCGGAGCTATATCCAAAGAACTGGAATATGCTCTTTGACGGAGGGACCTTGGAGAGGATGAAGTTGAGCGGCGCGAAAAGGATAGAGAAGGAAGGTTCGTTACGTCTGGTTCCATCAAAAGGAGTAGCAACGATGAAGCTGCTTACAGAGCGAGGTAAGAAGCTGAGGAGAAAGTTTCGACTGGTCCTTCCCGGAAACTATGCTCGCTGGCGCCTTGACTATTGGAGCAGCTCTTAACTGGAGCGGAGCGACAAGCAACATAACTGCCGCCTTTCCTCTTGCCGTGTGGCCAGAAGGAGTCGATACGCAGTTCTACCCCCTCGTTTCTTGATCGAAGATACGCGTCAGACAACGAGGCTTGGCAAAACGGCCACTGCAAGGGCTCCGTGAGTCCCCCTCGATCTGGTCGGATTGCAGGACAGCCTTACGCCTTCAAACCCGCCCCCCGCCCTCCTAAATCTCCCCGACGCCTTCAAGCCCCCCCCCCCCCCCCCCCCCCCCCCCTACGCCGTCAAAGGACGTTCGAAACTTCCATGAAGGCAATCACGCCTTTAGTTCCTCGCAAGCCGCGCGGACTTGACCCGGCCTGGATTTGGGACGACTGCTCGGGGTCGGCGGCATTGGCGGCAGCCATTAAATCGGGCAGCGCGAGGTCCCCAAGGACCGAGCATTTGCGGACCTTTTGGCCGGGTCGTCCCGGCAATAGCCTTGCTTGCCTTCTGCGAAGCAGAATTTTAAGGGGCTGCGCCCATGGGCGGGCAGCGCAGGCAGAAGCGCGGGGCGAGCAGTTTCTAAGCATTTTGAGGCCCCTAAACTCCCTTAAAATCTTTAAGCGTTTGAGGCTCCTCAACTCCCTTAAAGTTTCTAAGCATTTTCAGGCCCCTAAACTCCCTTCAAATCTCTAAGCGTTTGAGGCTCCTAGACTCCCTTAAAGTTTCTAAGCACTTTAAAAGGCCCCGAAACTCCCTTTTTCCTAGCCCCGGGCTTAGACACGTCGCTTACGCCCGCCCTTTGGGGGGCAGCATGCTCCTGATGCGCCCCGGGGTCCCGCCCCGGGAGCCGCTAATGCTCCTGATGCGCGCCTGGGGGTCCCGGGCTGGACCCGCTGATGCTCATGATGCGCACCCTCTGGGGGCCTCTGTGGCGACGCAAAAAAACACGGAGAGAAAAAAAAAACCGTTCAGCGGCGGCACGCGGGGGTCGGACTGGCGTCCGGCCTAATTCTGCTTCGACCCGGCCTGAAGGTCCGCAAATGCTCGGTCCTTGAGGACCTCGCGCTGCCCGACTTCTGCGAAGCAGAATTAGGCGGGACGCCAGTGCCGCCGACCCCCGCGTGCCGCCGGTGAACGGTCGTTTTTTCGTGTTTTTTTGCGTCGCCACAGAGGCCCCCAGAGGGTGCGCATCATGAGCATCAGCGGGTCCAGCCCGGGACCCCCAGGCGCGCATCAGGAGCATCAGCGGCTCCCGGGGCGGGACCCCGGGGCGCATCAGGAGCATGATGCCCCCCAAAGGGTGGGCGTAAGCGACGTGGCTAAGCCTGGGGCTAGGAAAAAGGGAGTTTAGGGGCCTTATAAAGTGCGTAGAAACTTTAAGGGAGTCTAGGAGCCTCAAACGCTTAGAGATTTGAAGGGAGTTTAGGGGCCTGAAAATGCTTGGAAACTTTAAGGGAGTTGAGGAGCCTCAAACGCTTAGAGATTTTAAGGGAGTTTAGGGGCCTCAAAACGCTTAGAAACTACTCGCCCCGCGCTTCTGCCTGCGCTGCCCGCCCATGGGCGCAGCGCCTTAAAATCGGGCAGCGCGAGATTTTCAAGGACCGAGCATTTGCGGACCTTTCGGCCGGGTCGTCCCGGCAATAGCCTTGCTTGCCTTCTGCGAAGCAGAATTAGGCCGGACGCCAGTGCCGCCGACCCCCGCGTGCCGCCGGTGTTTGCGTCGCCACGGAGGCCCCCAGAGGGCGCGCATCATGAGCATCAGCGGGTCCAGCCCGGAACCCCCAGGCGCGCATCAGGAGCATCAAGCGGCTCCCGGGGCGGGATCCCGGGGGCGCATCAGGAGCATGACGCCCCCCAAAAGGCTGGCATAACGACGTGTCTCAGGTCGGGGCTAGGAAAAAGGGAGCTTCGGGGCCTTAGGGGGCCTTGTGAAATGCGTAGAAACTTGAAGGGAGTCTAGGACAAACGCTTAGAGATTTCAAGGGGGTTTAGGGGCCTGAAAATGCTTAGAAACTTTAAGGGAGTTCAGGAGCCTCCAACGCTGAGAGATTTTAAGGGAGTTTAGGGGCCTCAAAATGCTTGTGACGGATCTGCTCGCCTTGCGCTTCTGCCTGCGCTGCCCGCCCATGGGCGCAGCCCCTTAAAATCCGGCCCCCCACGCCATGCGTGGTCCAGGGCGGAGCCCTCGTCGCACTAAAGCGCTAGCTTTAAGGGGCGAACCCCGCCCAAAATTGCTTCGAATTCGCATTTGGGGGGGCGGGGGCCGGCCCGTGCCGCTAGGCCTGAAATCCGGCCTGGCCATCGTGGTCCAGTGCGGAGCACGGCTAGCCTAAAGGCTTGCCTTTACGCGGGCGCCGCCACTGCCGCCGACCCGACCTGAAAATGGCATGTCTCCTTGCGCGAGGCTCCGGGGGGAGCTCCGGGAGGGCTCCGAGCGGGTCCCAAACGCACATGCGTGGAAGTGCCGAAAACATCGTAAATACCATGTGTTTTTGCGTTTTTGGAGGGCCGCCAAACGCCCCGGACGGCTCATGATGCGTGACCCGGCGCGCATCATCGACCCTGCTTTTTGACCTTAGGCGAACATGCGAAAAAAGACTTTACACCTCAGGTGTTGGGGGGAAAACCGCGCGGTACCCCCCCCCAACAGGGGCGAGCATCATGAGCATCAGCGACCCGTCCCCGGGGGCCCGGGCACCTCAACAAAGCCAGAAAACACCGTAAATACCGTGTTTTTCGCGTGTTTCGACACACACCTCCTTTCGGGGCACTGCCGCGCCTCCACGGTGAGCATCATTGACACCCAAGGCCTCGGGGGGGGTCAGCCGACGCCCGAGACGCACCCACGGGTGAGCATCATGAGCCCTTCATTTTTTTGGGGTCCGCGGGTCCAGGCTCCGGAGGCTCGCCGACGCTCATGAGGGCCTCGCTGATGCTCATGATGCTCGCTTGGGGGGGGGGTTCGACGCGAAAAACTGTTCAAAAACTGCCGTGTATGCACGCAGCGCTAAGCCCTGCGGGGTGAGTGGGCGAAAGGCATCCAAAAACGGGTCTAGCCACGTTGGCCCAGGCACTGATGCTCATGATGCTCGCGTTTGGGGAGCGGGGGCGTGGGCGGGGGGGGGTGGGGCGGGGCGATGGGGGGGAGAGGGGGCGGGGGGGGGGGGGGCGCCACCCCCACGCCAGTGACGCCACTGATGCTCACGCGCATTCACGCACGCACACAAGCAAGCACGCACGCACGCACGCATGCGCACGCAAAGGATTATATATCGGGTTTTGGCTGTCGCTTCCTGTTCTGTCTTCTCTTCTGCTTACTTTTTCTTCTTCTTCTTCTTTTTCTTACTTGTCTTCTTCTTTTTTTTTATCTTTTTCTTCTTCTTCTTTCTCTTCTTCTTCTTCTTCTTCTTCTCATTTTTTCTTCTTTTTCCCTTTCTTCTTGTTATTATTCTTTCTTTTCTTTTCTTTTTCTTTTTCTTCTTCTTTCTTTTATTCCTCTTCTGCTTCTTGTTCTTGATTTTTTTATTCTTCCTTTTTCTTCCTTTACCTTTTCTTCTTGTTATTATTCTTTCTCTTTTCTTCTTCTTCTTCTTCTTTTAATTCTTTCTTTTCTTCTACATCTGTTTCTTCTCCTTTCTCTTCTTCTTATTATTTTTCTTCTTCTTTCTTTTCTTCTTCTTTTTCTTCTTCTTTTTATTCTTCTTCTTTCTCTTCTTCTTGTTTTTGTTCTTTTTCCCTTTCTTCTTGCTTACGTCCCGATTCTTGCGCCCCCTAAACCCTAAACCCAAACCCGAGTTCAGCTTTCAGACGGCCAGGCCGGCCCGTGCCGCAAGGCCTGTAGATATATATATATATATATATATAAGGACGGCTATGTGGTACTGAAGCCCTCGACTGTGGATCCAGAGTTGCGGATGGCTTTCAACGAAGCCTTGATCGTAACATGTGTGGACGATCTCTTTTACCTGTCGGAGCCGGGGTGGAAGCAGTACACTCTTGGATCACAGAAGAATGGCCATGTGTAATCCGGAGCAGGGGCGCGAGCTGGCACTCGGTACCTCGGGATGGAAGTCTTTCAGAAGGAAACCGGGGAGTTTGAGGTGAAGCAAGAAGGGTACATGCGGGGTCTTCTTCATGCTCGATCATGGAATGGAAGACGCACCTCAAACATCGCTCCCGTGTCCAAAGGGGTGGATCGTGCAGTCCTTTGATTGGGAAGAGGAAAACTGTTCCGAGCCAGAGTTGCGGATGGGCCAGCGTACGCCGGGGGAACAACTATGCTTGGTCCTGAGTTCGAGACCGGACCTACAGTACGTTGTGGCCACATGGCCCGTCATCCTGTCAGAGTGACCAGAATCGCCAGACGAGTGTTGGCGTACCTCGGCAAGACCACGCTCCTTGCCCTTACTCTT